TCCTTCCTGCCTGCCTTCCTCCCTTCTATGTAATAATACAAGTGCCTGACTCAGTCATTTATTGCAGAGGTTCCCATTTCGAAGATGGCTGTCTCCAGTGAACACACTGAGAGCACGCAAACAACATGATGTGCATGGCCAGCTGCGACACATCTTGATTGGTTCTGATAATGGACTATTTGGGCCGCTTGTCTTTTCTTTTCCTGTGCTTTAACTTCCTGGGGTTCTGTTTTGGCAGCTCACATGCGCTCTCTCCTTCTCCCTCTTCCCTTCCCCCTCTACATCCTCCTCCCTCCAACCCACACCCTGAGCTTGTTTTGTGGCCACACCTGTGCTGTGTGATTTCCAGGCCTGATATTTTTAAAGTTTTTCAGAGTTTCCTGAGAGTCATAGCTGGAGGGTTTCTTGCAATCCTAGGAACCACCAGGGCAGGTCCAGGCACAACACTGGGTGTTAAAAAGCTGAGACCCAACAAAGCAGGTAGACGGTGGGGAGAGCCCAGGGCTGAGGGAAAGTCTCCAGGGCCCCCCCCCCACACACACACACCCCTCAATAGGGAAGTGGGATAGCAGCTGACCCGGCCTGACTTGAGTGCCAGGACAGGAAGCTCCCCCTACCTCCTCAGCGTCAAGCCCTGCCCTCGTGTAACCTGACACTCTGTCCCTCATCCACCATCCTGGTACCCAGCCAGTTTACAACTTTTGAAAGCTAGGAAATAGAAACTTTGAGAAATCGAAACTGCCAGGGGAGGGAGGAGTCAGAGCACCCTTCAGCATCCGGACCGCAGCCGCTCATCTCAGATGGTGAACCCCAAAACTCTTGCCTCTCTGGTAACTGCCTAAAAGAACCCATGTTGAAGGTTTTTCACAGAATGAGAGCATTTACCGAGGATGAATGTTATCTGAGTGACCCCTCTGTATGCCAGGGCAAACATATCTACACTTACTGCCCTTCTCTTGAAGCCAAAGCCCCTAACCCTAACCCTCACCCACACCTTGACCCTCACCCCTAACCCTGACCCTGACCCTGACCCTGACCCTAACCCATTCCCATGCTCTAGATGGCATAGACCTTCCTGTTTTTGAACCTCTCGTGTATGTGGGGTTTCTAAACATACAAAATTAAATTTTATTTTCTCCTGTTAATCGTTCTCATGTCAACTTAGCCAAAATAGTTTTTGAAGGGTAGAGGGAAGTTTTTCCACGCTGATGATGAGTGTCTGCCCCACAGAAGCCTCTGCCTTCTCCAAAGGGTCCCAGAAGAGAGAATGTTGGGAGCTCCGGCACATGCGGGGATACAAAGGGCCTCTCTGATCTGGAACATTCCACTGTGTCCTCTAATGCATTGGTACTGGGCCCACTCAGAGCTCTGACTTGGTGATCTTATACAACCCTGCTTACGTGGGCGGGTCTGCCACCAGGTCAGCTGATGTCCATGTCCGCACCTGGCTGGCCCCACCACAAAGGTTCTCACGCAGAAGGCCAATGACGCCAAAATCGTTGTCAGAGGGAAGGGAGGTGGGGGGTACAGGCTTCCACTTATGGAATGAGTGAGTCACGAGGA